GGAGTCTGCAGTCACTGGAGCAAGCGAGCCTCCCTGCTCGCTTCCAGCTGCCTGGCTGCCGGCCGCCATCTTTTGGCTGACATAATTTGCATAAGGATATGCTGATTAGCCAATGGGAAGGGTAGCGTCGTACGCCAATTACCATGTTTCTCTTTTATTAGTGTAGATATATATTTAAGAAAAAGAAGAGGAAGGAAGAATAAATATGAAAAACTCAAAGAAAATAAGGGATCTGATTTCATTTTGAAGACACATTTATTTTTTAAATTGTTCGCGAGATAGCAGGACACCAGGGCAGCAGAGTGCAGATACTATATCAGAAGCAACAGAAGCAGCAGAACTTAAGTGGGGATGTATAATGATTTATTGGAGTATAGGAAAAATATAACTTTATTCATATTTTTTTCCCTCTTAAATGTTTGAACGCTTTATAATGTGTATAAAAATCAATGCACACATAATTTATAAATTGCAAGTACACACATATTCAAATGTTTGCCCAATTGTTAATTATTTATTTTTTTTACGAACAGGTAGGGTTATACAATCATAGACTGTTAGAGGCCACAGGAGAATGAGGCCTGGCCTTGGAGGACCTGGAACCCCTCTGGCTGGGAGCCACGGGCCCACTAGAAGCTCATTACATCACCCATTGTTGGACAGGACAAGTCTTTTTTGGATTCTTTTTCTCCACCACCGTATAGGTGCAGGTCTTCTCGTTGAATAATTTCTTGCATTTCATTTTGCTAAAACCCACAGGTATAGCAACACTGCCATTGAGACAAGAGCAAAGCCAATTAGAAAGGATAAGATATCAACCCTAGCCATTATGCTCAGAACGCAAGAACATGCAATGGAGTCAAGACAATCTCTTCAATAAATGGTGTTGGGAAAATTGGACAGGCACATGCAAAAAAAAAAATGAAACTACACCACCAACTTACACTATACACAAGAATAAACTCAAAATGTATAAAAGACTTAAATGTAAGTCATGAAACCATAAAAATCCTAGAAGAAACCATAGGCAGCAAAATATCAGGCATCTCTCGTAGCAATATGTTTACCAATACATCTCCTGACCTAGGGCAAAGGAAACCCAGGTGAAAATAAACAAATGGGACGACATCAAAATAAAAGGCTTCTGCACAGCAAAAGAGTAAAAAGGGAGCCCACTGTATGGGAGAACATATTTGGCAAT